AGGGAACTGGGAGGGACTGGGAAGAACTGGGAGGGACTGGGAAGGACTGGGAGGGAACTGGGGGGGACTGGGGGGACTGGGAGGGACTGGGAGGGAACTGGGTTTGGGGACCCTGCAGGATGTCCGGGTGACTTTTGGGGACCCCCAGATCTGTCCTGGGTGGGTTTTGGGGTGTCCCAGGTGGGTCTTGGGGTCTCCCTGATACCTGGGTGGGTTTTGGGGTCCTCCAGAGCTCTCCTGGGTGGGTTTTGGGGTTCCCTGAGATGTCCCAGGTGGGTTTTGGTGTGTCCCCGATACCAGGGTGGGTTTTGGGGTTCCCTGGAATGTCTCAGGTGGGTTTTGGGGACCCCCGGAGCTGTCCTGTCTGGTTTTTGGGCTGTCCCCAATCCCTGTCTGGTTTTTGGGCTGTCCCCAATCCCCGGCTGGTTTTTGGGCTGTCCCCAATCCCTCTCTGGTTTTCGGGGTGCCCCAATCCCCGGCTGGTTTTCGGGGTGTCCCCGATCCCCGGCTGGTTTTCGGGGTGCCCCGCCTGACCGGGGGTCCCCAGGACGAGCCGGTGGCCCCCCACTCGCTGGCCTTCTCCCCCGACGGCTCGCGGCTCCTGGGGGGCTTTGAGGGCGCCGTGCGCGAGTTCCCGACCCAGCGGCCCGGCCGGAACGGCCTGGAGAGGAGCCTGCGGCGTGAGGGGCGGGGCTTAAAGGGGCGGGGTCCCGGGGGGCGGGGCTTAAAGGGGCGGGGCTTACAGGGGCGGGGTCCTGGTGTGGGGCTTACAGGGGGTGAGGTCCCGGGGTGGGGCTGGGGTGAGTCCCAGCCTTTTTTTGGGGTCAAAATGGGGTTTGGAGGGGGAAGTGAGGGGTTAAAAGGGGCGGGGTGTGGCAAAAGGGGGCGTGGTCTAAAGGAAAGGGGGCGTGGCCTAAATGGGTGGGGTCCAGGGGTGGGGCCGGGGTGATTCCCAGCCTTCGTTTGGGGTCAAAATGGGGTTTGGGAGGGAAAGTCAGGGGTTAAAAGGGGCGGGGTGTGTCAAAAGGGGGCGTGGTCTAAAGGAAAGGGGGCGTGGTCTATGGAGGCGGGGTCTGGGGTGGGACACGGGCCAGTCCCACCCTTAGTTTGGGGTGAAAATGGAGTTTTAGAGGGAAAGTCAGGGGTTAAAAGGGACGGGGTGTGGCTGAAATGGGCGTGGTCTAAAGGGAAATGGGCGTGGCCTAAAGGGGTGGAGTCCATGGGTGGGGCCGGGGCGATTCCCAGCCTTCGTTTGGGGTGAAAATGGGGATTAGGAGGGAAAGTCAGGGGTTAAAAGGGGCGGGGTGTGGGGAAAAGGGGCGTGGCTTAAATGGGTGGGGCTTGGCTGGGGGAAGGGGAGGTTTTCCCTTATTTATTTGGGGGAGAGAAGTGGTGCTAAAAAGGGGCGTGGCCTAAACGCAAAGGGGCGGGGCTTAAAAGAGTGGGGCCTGGGAGTGGGTGGGGCTTAAATGGGTGTGGCCTTGGGGGCGGGGCCCGAACTGGTAAAGGGGTGGGGCTTAAAAGGGAGTGGCAGCCAAAATGCAAATGAGTGGGGTGTGGGGGCGTGGCTTTGGCAGGCATGGTCCAATGAAAGCAGAGTTTGAGTGGGTGGGGCCCCATGGGGGCGTGGCCTCACGGATGTGGGCGTGGCCTAACCTTTGTCTCCGCCCCCTCCAGGGGGCAGGCAGGGCCAGCGAGGCCTGATTGGCTGCCTGGCCTTCAGCCCCAGCCAATCGCTGTTCGCGTGCGGCTCCTACGGGCGGAGCCTGGGGCTGTACCCGCTGGAGGGGGGCGGGGCCGTGGCGCTCTGGCCCCGCCTCCCGGCCGCGCCCACCCACCTGCGCTTCAGCGCCTGCGGGACGCGCCTGTTCGCCGGCGGCAGGAAGGTGGGCGGGGCTTTGGACGTGGGCGTGGCCCCATCGCTGGGGGCGTGGCCTCGTGTGGGTGGGGCTTTGTGAATGTGGGCGTGGCCTCGGTGTTGGGGCGTGGCCTCGTGTGTGTGGGGCTTTGTGAATGTGGGGGTGGCGATGGGTGGGCGGGGCCTCTTGTGGGAGGATGTGGGGGCCTGTCCGAACGGTGGGCGGGGCCTTTGGGTGGTTGTGGGGCGTGGCCTCGTGTGGGCGTGGCTTTGTGAATGTGGGCGTGGCCTCGGTGCTGGGGCGTGGCCATGTGGGGGCGTGGCCGAATGGTGGGCGGGGCCTGTGGGTGGTTGTGGGAGTGTGGTCTCGCGGTAGGCGGGGCTTTGTGGATATGGGCGTGGCCTGAGTGATGGGGGCGTGGCCTCGTGTAGGCGGGGCTTTGAGAATGGGCGTGGCCTCTTGTGGGTGGGGCTTTGAATGTGAGCGTGGCCACGTGTGGGTGTGGCAATGGGCAGGCGAGGCCTCTTGTGGGTGGGTGTTGGGGCGTGGCCTAAAAGTGGGCGGGGCTTTGTGAATGTGGGCGTGGCCTCATGTAAATGCTTGGTTTGTAAATGTGGGCGTGGCCTCAGTGCTGGGCCGTGGCCTCGTGGTAGGCAGAGGTTTGTAAATGTGGGCGTGGCCATGCGATGGGCGGGGCTTTGTGAATGGGGGTGTGGCCTCAGTGCTGGGGGTGTGGTCTGTTGTGGGCAGGGCTTTGTGAAGGGGGCGTGGCCTCATGTGGGCGGGGTTTTGTGAAATGGGCGTGGCCTAAGCACTGGGGCGTGGCCTCATGTAGGCAAGGCTTTATTATTGTGGGTGTGTTTTCCGTGCTGGGAGCGTGGCCTCGTGTGGGCGGGGCTTTGTTAATGTGGGCGTGGCCCTGTGTGGGTGTGGCACTGCGTGGGCGGGGCCTGTGGGTGGTTGTGGGGGCGTGGCCTTGTGGACGGGGATTTGTGAATGTGGGCGTGCCCCACGGTGGGCAGGGCTTCGTGAACATGGGCGTGGCCTCAGCATTGGGGGCGTGGCAAAGGTGGGCGTGGCCTCAGCGCTGGGTCCGTGGCATCGAGGTGGGCGGGGCTCTGTGGATGTGGGCGTGGCCTCCGGGCCTGGCACAATCTGGGCGTGGCTTTCGGGGTGTGGTTTGTGGTTTGATTGACGCCTCCCAGCGCGGTGGGCGGGGCTTTGTGGGCTGGGAGGGGTTTTGAGCCCTGGGGGCGTGGCTTCAGGCCTGATGGGCGTGTCCCGGGCTGGCCCCGCCCCCAGGACAGCCACATCCTGTGCTGGGACCTCCGTGTCCCCGAGCGTCCCCTCCTGGCGCTGCCGCGGCGCGTGGCCACCAACCAGCGCGTGACCTTTGACCTCGACCCGTGAGTGACCCCCGAAAAGCTGCGGCACCTTTTGGGGGGGATTTTGGGCAACTGAGTCACCTGGGGGGGGGTTTGTACACCTGAGTCACTTTTTGGAGACCTCCTGGACACCTGGGTCACTTTTCGGAGGAATTCTGGGCAGTCCTGGACACCTGGGTTGAATTTTTGGGGGTGTCCTGAAAACCTGGGTGACATTTTGGGAAGATTTTGGGATGTGCTTAACACTGGGAGCATCTTTAGAGGGGATTTTTGGTGGTCCTGGACCCCTGGATCACCTTTTGGGGGGATTTTTGGGGGGGTCCTGAAGACTTGGGTCACCTTTTTGGGCACCCTGAACACCTGGGTCAACTTTTGGGGGATTTTTGGGGGGCTCTGGACACCTGGATCACCTTTTAGGGATGTCCTGAATATCTGGGTCACCATTTGGGGGGAATTTGGGGGGTCCTGAACATCTGGGTCACATTTTGGGGGGATTTTTGGGTGTCCTGAACAACCGGGCTGAAATTTTGGGAGGTCCTGGACACCTGGGTCACCTTTTGGGGGGGTCCTGGACACCCAGATCACTTTTTGGGGGGAATTTGGGGGGTCCTGGACACCTGGGGCACCTTTTGGGAGGATTTTTGGGGGGTCTTGAACACCTGGGTCACTTTTTGGAGGGAACTTGAGGGGGCCCTGAACACCTGGATCACCTTTTCCATCATCCTGGACACCTGGGTCATCTTTTGGGGGGTCCTGAAGACCTGGGTCAAATTTTTGGGGGCGTCCTTGACACCTGGATCACCTTTTGGGGGGAACTTGGGGGGTCCTGAACACCTGGATGAAATTTTGGGTGGGGGGTCCAGGGGATTTTTGGCCCCTCCACCCCCTCTGGGGGTCCCCATTTTCGGGGGTTTTTCGGGGAGGGGTCTCACGCCGCCCGTGCCCCCCAGGTCGGGGCGGTTCCTGGTCAGCGGTGACACCGACGGCTTTGTCACCGTCTGGGACACGCTGGCGCCCCCCGGGCCCGGGGACCCCCCCGAGCTGCCCCCCCTGCTTCGCTTCCGCGCCCTCCGCGACTGCGTCAACGGCACCAGGTACCCCCAAATAATGGGGAACCCCCAAAAATAATGGGGAACCCACCAAAAATAATGGGGAACCCTCCCAGAAATAATGGGGAACCCCCCCAAAAGTAATGGGGGATCCCCCCCCCAGAAATAATGAGGAACCCCCCCAAAAATAATGGGGATAACCCCAGAAATAATGGGGAACTCCCCCAAAAATAATGGGGAACCCCCCCAAAAATAATGGGGAACCGCCCCCCAGAAATAATGGGGAACCCACCAAAAATAATGGGGAACCCCCCCAAAAATAATGGGGAACCCCCAGAAAATAATGGGGAACTCCCCCAAATAATGGGGAACTCCCCAAAATAATGGGGAACCCCCCCAAAAATAATGGGGAACCCCCCCAGAAATAATGGGGAACCCCCCCAGAAATAATGGGGAACCCCCAACTTCCACCATTTCCACCCTAAATCCCCAAATTTTCAGTTGAATTCCCCACATTTCTACCCCAGACTCCCCAAATTTTCACCCCAAATCCCCCAAACTTCTACCCCAAACTCCCCCAAATTTTCACCCCAAATCCCCCAAATTTCCACCCCAAACTCCCCCAAATTTCCACCCCAAACTTCCACCTCAAATCCAAATTTTCACCCGAATTTCCACCCCAAACCCCCTCAATTCTCACCCCAAACCTCAGATTTTCACCGAATCCCCCCAAATCCCCCAAATTTCCACCCCAAACTCCCCCAAATTTCCACCCCAAACCCCCAAATTTCCACCGACCCCGCAGCCTGCACCCCGGGCTGCCCCTGCTGGCCACGGCCTCGGGCCAGCGCCTGTTCCCGGCGCCCTGGGGCAGCGACGGTGACAGCGACGGTGACAGTGACGGTGACGGCGAGGGGACAGCGCCAGGAGGGGACATCCGCCTGCAGTTCTGGTGGTGGGGACCCGAGGGCGCCGGGGACAGCGGCTGGGACACCCCCGGGGACACCGGGGACACCAACTGGGACACCCCCGGAGACACTGGGGACACCAGGGGCATCGGTGACACCAACTGGGATACCCCCAGGGACACTGGGGACAGCGGCTTGGACCCCCCTGGTGACACTGGGGACACCGGGGACAGCGGTGACACCAGCTGGGACACCCCCGGCGACAGCAGGAGTGGTGATTGTCACCCCTCTGGGAACACCGGGACTGGCCATTGTCACCTCCCTGGGGACACCGATTGTCACCCCTCTGGGGACACCGGGACTGGCCATTGTCACCTCCCTGGGGACACCGATTGTCACCCCTCTGCGGACACTGGCAGTGGTGATTGTCACCTCCCTATGGACACTGATTGTCATCCCTCTGGGGACACCGGCAGTGGCGATTGTCACCTCCCTGGGGACAGCCACATTGCAGATTGTCACCTCCCCATGGACACTGATTGTCACCCCTCTGGGGACACTGGCCGTGGCCATTGTCACCTCCCTGGGACACCGTGACTGGAGACTTTCACCCCCTTGGGGACGCTGTGACCGCTGCCTGTCACCTCCCTGGTGACACCAATTGTCACCTCCCCGGGGACACCAGGACTGGCGATTGTCACCTCCCTGGGCACACCGAGTGTCACCCCCTGGGGACAACCGCCAGGACACCACGACCATGGACAGAGTGTCACCCTCCTGGTGGCACCAATTGTCACCCCCTGGGGACACCAAGGGCCACCCCACGTCTGGGGACGCCGACTGTCACCCACCCCAGGGACAGCGACTGTCACCTTTGGGACCCCGGCTGTCGCCCCGGGGACCCCTGGAGGGTCACAGCCCCCCTGGGGACCCCGGCTGTCACCCCCAGGCCTCGGTGGCACTAAAGGCGTTGTGACTGTCACCCTCTGTCACCCCTGTGGGCTGTCATGGCTGGAGGTGTGGCCCCGCCCCCGCCCCCCAAAACCTCCCCCGGGACCCCAAAATCGTGCCCAGCCCCCAAGCCCGGCGTTGCCCCTTTAAGAGACCCCTCCCCAAAGGGGCGGGGCCTGTTCCTCAGCAGCTTCACCGTCACCATGGAAATAGTGGGGAACTTCCGGCCACGCCCCCTCGAGGCCACGCCCACCCGTGCGGCCACACCCACCAGGTCAGGTCTGTGGGCGTGGCCACGTTACCTGTTGGGCACGCCCCTTTGCAATGACCACGCCCCCTTTTCCTACCTGCCCGTGCTAATTGCCAACGGGACACGCCCCCAGAGCCACACCCACTCCAGACCACGCCCCCTTGTCCAAAGCCACGCCCACCCCCCCACGCCCCGCCCCTCTGGCTGTCACAAACCACGCCCCGCGGCCACACCCATAAAGCCACGCCCCTTTAACTCCGAGACCACGCCCCTTTCCGGAGCCACGCCCCCTGTGTGGCCACGCCCCGCCCCGCAGCCGGCGCGGGCGCAGCCGGGGCGGCCCCGCGGGGACGCGGGTTCGAGTCCGGCCGGGCCGGGGGTCGGGGCGGGGGTCCCGGGGCCGGGCCGGGCTCTGCGGCCCCGGCGGGGCGGGCGGCGATGGCGGGGCGGGCGGCGGCGCTGCTGCTGGCCCTGCTGGGCGCGGGGGCCGCGGGGCTGAGCCTGGAGCCGGTGGTCTGGCAC